ATTTAATCTTATTTAAACATTCGCTCGATTCAAATCGATCGATATTAACGAAAAAAGATTCGAACGATTTAAAACTATTTGTTTGCGTGCTTTTGATCGCCACAACTATCGACTTTGTCCACTTTTCTTCGAACGTGCAATTGTGCGAGACTCGTAAGCAGTCGTGCGTGTAAGATAAAAGTGAAATGGAAAAAGTGGAAACGCAATACGCACAATCGTCTTGTTGCTCTTCGTCTTATGTTTCATGTTGATGCTCTCGTATTTAATTAATTTCCTCAATAATAATGATAATAATAATAATAATAATAATAATAATAATAATAATAATAATAATAATAATAATAATAATAATAATAATAATAATAATAATAATAATTAAACGATACGTTATCACTTTCGATCCGTCTTATATTATCTTTTATGAAGGAATAATGATTCTGCATCACGGTCATGAATTTTTTTTCAATGAAATTGGTTTAAATAATGTTTATTTAACTTGTTCATATCTATGTAACATTTCATTTTATTTTAAATTACATAAAAAGTGTATTTCCTGCACCTTTGAAAAATAAAAAATAGAGAATGAAACTATTCATATTTCTTTTTTTTTTTTTTGCAATGTTTGTTTAATTAATACTTCTTTATTATATTATAATAAATTTAAGTACTAGTGGCCTGACAATCGAGAGTCATAATTAAGATAATAGTTATTGATAATACTTGTCTTTAAATGGCGTTAATGGCAGTGTTGCAATAGTCTTTGGAAAATTTTCATTGTTTCATGCTCCGATTTCTGAAAAATTCTCTTTGACTACATTTATTAACGTATCTAATTATATACCTTGTCCAAAATTGTGCTATGCGTGAAAAAATAAAATTGACTAGACTTATAAAGGATAAAAAGCACGAGCCTTCGTGATTAATCGTAAATATATAAATGTATATGCACATGCTAAAATCGCGAGGTATACACGACGCGAAGAATACTATTTCTTCTCTTTCTATTTAAAAATAATATAAAAAGATCTCTTCTAAGTGTATCTCTCTCTCTTTCTCCTTCTCTCTCTCTCCTTCTCTCTCTCTCTCTCTCTCTTTGTCTTTGTACGTGCAACATATGCTTTGGTACATCCTGCATTACGAATTAAATCTTAAAGGAACTAGGGAAGTTTAAAAATTCGAAAAATTCGATGTTATTTGCATATTATAATAGTATCAATATTTAAGAATATCTTTCGATCAGAAAATTATAAAACGTAGTGTTACCAAGCAAATGGGCATAAGGTTTTCATTGGGTAAGTCTTGTAAGAATCTATGCGATTTAATGAATCTGTTAAATTTTCTTACTTGTACACCAAACGATAGAATAGTGAAATTCATTCAACAAGCAGTTTTAATGACAGAAAATTTTTTGAATAAGTGTACGACTAACATAATATATTATAACATAAAGATTATGTCGAAACTTTAAACGCGACTTTCTCGAAATTACTTTTTTGTTTCATTATTTTATTACGATATCTCGAGATATAAACTTGAAATTTATATAGAAATTACAAAATATTATGACATATTAATTATATCTGAAATCAAATTTGAAAAAATATGTTTTTACAATTTTATAATAACAAATAATTCGAATTTTTATTGATTTTTCGTTATCTTAACGTTAGCGTTGTTAATCTTATTTTGATTTTCAATTTTTCAGGTATAATTAATAAAGGGAAACCTAAGGAAAAGAAATATCTTCGGAATTTTTGAAAACCTTCATCCATTCGATTGGAATCATGGTAAAATTAGATTTTATATAGTTTGATTCATTACGTTGAAGCGCTGATATTACAAGCTGGAATGATTCTCAATGGATTTTCATATTTTATAATGTTATAATCAATACCGTAAAAAGAAATTCATTTGCGGCCTTGTTACGAACAATTTAACGCGTGCCAACATTTAAAATTCCAAATTTCCCTAGTTCCTTTAAGAAAAATTTTAAAGTAACATTTACTATACGATAAATAAATGAAACTAATAAATAATTTCAGCTGTCGTAGAAATCATTCATCTTTCGTTTTTATATCTTAAGGACAGAACTTCAAATTACTTACATAAAATGTCACAATGAATAAAAATCTAAAGCTCGAAAAAAAAAAAAAGAAAAATAATTCATTTTCTTCAATCGATCCTATTACCATGGTGACAAATTAACGGAGCATTCACTTCCCATCCATCGATATCTTCAGTCGATTGAGTCGCTCTTTTTTGTGCGTTTAAGATAATCGAACTATGTTTAGGACTGCTCGGTGCTGATCTACAAGTTACTTGAAATATCGTTGATGTACCAAATCGAAGATTTTTCATGCCAGCTCTTAAAAGATAAGAATCATTGTCGAAAAGGAAACTGTTATCTAATTGAAGATCGTTTAGTTTCTTTTTACTTGGATCAAGTGGATGTTGCAAAAGATCCGATTGACTTTCACAAAGTTTCTCTACACATGGACAAGAATTGCTACTCGATCTCCAGTTTTCTATACAAGCGGCCTTCATTAAAGACGAGGATGATAATTTTGGTTTACAGGGACTATTGTCGACGATCGATTCCAATTGGTTACTCGTTCTTATACACTTTTGATCCAGCTGATCAGAGCTAGCAAAACGTAAACGTTTTGGTGACTCGCTTGAACATCTCATGAATGTCGAACTCATAAGGGATTTGTTCTTTAATGAACTTCGTGGTACGAGTGGATCGATTGTATTCGTACATTTACCGTTCGTTGCATTTTTACGATTTGTTCTTTCTTTCCAACGTTCTTCTCGTGACACTGGATCCTCACCTATCAGCCAGTAGGTCAATCGATCTCCTTTACCTTTCATGGAAACTACACCGCGTTCAATTAGACTAAATCCACCTAGCTCATCCAATAACTTTTTCGTTTCGCTACTACAATGAATTTTTAATGCTGAAAAAAATAAAATATTGATTTTTATTATTTATCGTTGTCTCTCATCGATAAGAAAAATTATTCTTACGAGATCCTGTTGATTCCATACGACTGGCTGTGTTTACAGTATCACCAAATAGACAATATCGTGGCATTTTTAAACCCACGACTCCAGCACAAACAGGACCTACAAATTAAATATCTATCCTGTTATTTTATTACCGTTATTAATTATTATTTTATTCAATACTCATTTATTATTACAATTATCTATCATTTAATTTTACATTAACATTATCAGAGATATAAGCTGTTGAAATGTTAATTGTTTTTCTTTTTTCTTTTCATTTCCTTTTTTTTTTTTTTTTTTTAAATTGTTTACCCGAATGAATTCCTATTCGAAGTTGCAATTTATCCAAAGGTCTATGACGTATCGTGAATTGCTTGATAGCATCTAAGAGGCACAAGGACATACTGGCGATTTCTGCAGAATGATGAATGCCGTTTCTTATCGGCAATCCACTTACCTAGAAACGAAACTAAATTATTGGAGAATTATTTTAAATAAAAATATTAATATTAATCTTATTTTTTTTTATTTTTTACTATACTTACAACCATGTAAGCATCGCCGATAGTTTCGACTTTGTAAACGTCGTAATTTTCTATTGTTGAATCGAAACACGTATACAGGTCGTTTAAGAAATCCACCACCTGAATATATGGTATTATTTCGTAAGATTATTTATAATGATAAAATTGATGAAACGACAAGAACGATTTACCTGTAAGGGTGTACTTTCGGCTGACATCGAAGTAAATCCAACGATATCACTGAAATAAATTGTGACACAATCGAAACTTTCAGCTTCCACTTTGTTTCCACGTTTTAATTGTTCGGCCACGTATTTTGGAAGCATCTCATACAACAATGCATCTAAAATTTGGATTAAAATAAAATTTAACGTTGTTAATGTATTTTATCATTATTTTCATTCAAATTTTTCAAAGGATAAACCTGTTTTTTTTTTTTCTTCTGTCAATTGATCAGTTCGTTCGTCCACAAGAGCTTCGAGATTATTTGCATATTTTTCCATCATTGCCATCATATTATCAAATATGTTCGGTTTCCTATATAAATCATATAACGTAATATACGGTTTGATATTCAATAAAAAAAAAAAAAAAAAAAAAAAAAAAAAAAAAAAAAAAAAAAAAAAAAAAAAAATTTAAGTGAACTTACATGCCCTTTCGCAGAGGTCTTAATTTGTTCCTTATGATCTTAAAATCCGGCCGATTTTCTGGATCTTCAGCCCAGCATTCCAACAAACAGTCACGTACAAAATCAAAAGTGTTCTCTAGCTGTTCCAACGGTGGTCTGAGATGGGAAAAGACAAGCTAACAGGTAAAAACAGAATTGCTTAAGCATTTCAACTATCAGAAAAAATGAAGACTCGACTCGTGACGACTTTAAAGTTCTACCTGTATGGTGGATTTGTTGTGTTTCTCGTTATTATTTTCTTCAAAATTTCAGGAGTAGATGATTGAGTTATACCGAAAGGACCATGGCGACCTTGAAGCTCGTAAAGAACTATAGCGAAGGAATATACGTCTCCTCTTTGAAAATCTCTCGCTGATGGTTCATCGAGACCAGTTGAACGTAATAATTCTGGTGCTCTATACAATAATCCTATATAACAGGAGATCGTTAAAATTTACGTTTATCGTTCGAAAAGTGTATAATAATAGCAAGAAAGAAAAAAAAAAGAAAAACAAAAAAAAAGGATAAAGAAGAAAACTCGCCGACAAGTTGAACAAAATTGCATTTGCATGGAATTTGAGATCAGTCTCAGAAAGTACCGTGGTATTTTTTCATAACGTCACTTGGCTCACATTCGGCGTCTCGTTTAAATTCGCGAAGCCCAAAATCCGACAGCTTTACGACCCAACGAGAATCCACGAGGCAGTTTGACGTGCTGAGCGATCCGTGATATTTTATGACAGACTCGTGAAGATAAATCATGCCCTGAAACGGGAAGGAATATTTTAGACGACGAGTGGAAACGACTATTCTATTTTTTTTCTTTTTTCTTTTTTTCTCTTTTTACATTGTGAATAAAAATCGATGAAAATGTACCCTTATAATGTCACCGACCAGCGATGCCATGAACATGTTATCGAGCTTTATATCCTCGTTTTCTAAAATATCCTGAAAAAATATCTTCGTTCAAATTATAGATTTTCAAATTATTGATTTTTAATTATAGATTTATAATTAATAATATTTCAAATAATTAATAATTAATAATTAATAATAATTTTTACTTTTAATCGTTTTCAAATTTAATAGAAATTTTTATTAAAATAATTTTACCTTCAAGCTGCCTCGTGCACAATAGTCAACGACGATGCATATATTTGGAGGATCGGTACAAGCACCGATAAATGCATTTAAATTATCGTGTCTCAAATCTCGCATCTATAAAAAATAAATCGAATTAATATACCCTCTATTAAATTCTATTGAAATATTTCAAGATAAATAAATAGAGTAAGAAAGATTAAGATCAATCAATTCAATTACTATTTTCAATTCCTTCTTCATCTCTCGTGTAATCTCGATTGATTTCTTTCTTATTTTTTTAATGGCAAAGATTCGTCCTTTGTAAACTCCAATTTGTGTATAAATCATGGAATAGCGAAAATCGGCATCAGGATTCGAGCTCAAGGATACCTGACTCGTTCTCACTATCGGTTGCGTCGTCTGAAAAAAAAGATATAAAACATAAATTGATTCGGTTTCGGAAATGTGTGATCTTATCAAGCATGAAAATCCAATAGGAAAACTCGAAGAAAATCCTTTTTGAATAATTTTTCCTTTCTTTCTTTCTTTTTCATTCTTTTTCTCATTAAGCACAAAAAAATTGTGTACTGTTCGAAGATGATTCGAGCTTACCTTGGAATTACATTTGATTGAGATCTCGTTAGATGCTCCGTTTTCATCCTTTGCCTCTTTGATCTGAATATCCTTATAGTTTACTTTCCAAAGTAACGAATCCAACTCTTGCTCGTATTTCCAATTTCTATATAGAATTAATAGTACTGCGACAATGATTAATAGTAATCCACCTGCTATACCACCTATTATCTCAATCGTGTAAGCTGTAACATTTCAATGAAAATTAATTCAAACGATTTGACTAGATCAGTAGTTATCGTAATATCGATTCGTATAATCAAATATATTCTAAGTTCTTTAATTTTTACATCGATTTTTAATTTTAGTATATTGAATTAGATAAGCTAATCATGTTTTTATTCTTTTTTTTCCCATTTAAAATTATTTACTCGTAAAAAATATTTATTTCTATAGAAATTACTTAGGTGCAAAATGAAAATTACATTTCTTTTCGTTTTTCAATCTCAATCCCAATTAACTTTTCAAGGATCTTCTACTGTTGTAAGGTATTCCATTAAAACTTTTTCTATGTTTTACATCTTTTCTTACTTTGTGATAATTCAGAACTACGTATGATATATATATATATATATATATATATATATATATATATATATAAGATAATCGTGTTCTAATTTCATTTCTTTTTAATCTGTTCAAAATTATTTACTTATGTGTATAAATTTTACAAATAACAAATAAAAAATTTTTTTTTGTTCTTTTTTTTTTCTATTCTTATGAGTAATATTTATTGAATGATATTATTCGTTGTAGAACTCTCATGTAATATACGTTTTTTTTAAGAGACGACATTGATCTTATCTCTTCTCTCTGTTTTCGATCGAATGCCGTTCGTCTTGGCACGATTTACATATGTAGATTTTTAGGGCCGGGCGTTAAACTTTACGACGCGTTCTCGAACGATCGATTCTACTACATCGTCGTCGTCCATGAGTTATACATGTGGATGATTTTAAAAGTTCGATCGAAAGCCAAAGACTGATAATACGAAAGTGAACCTTCGTTTGCATTTTCACCATGCAGAAAACAGAAGGGGTTGAAATTATCCTAAAATTTTGAAAAAACTTGATCTCAAACATGATTTCTGTCATTTTTAGAATAATTTTCTATGATATTGATCCTTTTCGAATGCTCGTAAATCATTCACACTTAGAACAAAGAAATCAATGAAAATAATAACAATATAAATATAACATAAAATTTGTAATGCCAAATGTAATGTAATACAAATGTAATACAAATGTGTAAAACAAAATTAATCCTTTTGTTCAACCTCGAGAATGTTCAACTTCGAAAGAAAGAAATGGAACGAAAATGGAAACAATAGAAAATGTAAAATAATATGTAAAATAATAATATGTAAAATATAAATGTAAAATATAAATATAATGAAAAAAAAAAAAAAATAAAATGTGAAGCATTTAATATGTATATACGTATCTATTTAATTAGAAATTTCCTTTCTTGAAAATATTTTTCATCGATTATACTTTAAATGTTTTGTTTTTTCTCTTCTTTCTACATATTTTCAAATTCTTAATTATTACAATATATATAATATATGGTACCTATGTAAAATATATAAAATATATATAAATATATATCACCTACGCACACTTGCATTTTTCACCATGATATCCGCAATATGGTTCCGAGATAGGTGGACCATCACCGACCCAAGAAATTTCTCGTATCAATCGAAGCTTCTAAAAAAAAAGAAAAGATAAATAATATGTTTAAAACAATGTAACTTTTGTTAGAATGATATTTATTTTTCACATACAGGTAAATTTGATCCTTCTTCTTTACCAACGAAATATGCGATAGGATAAAGACCATAACCTTTGTCAGCCTGATTATCCAAAGCAATCAACGTGTAATTACCTTCGGCATCTCCATTCTCGTCCATGTACACCATGTAACTGTGAAATAATAAAAATAAAATATTTTATGGGATTCGCGAAAAAAGTTCGGTGTGCTTGGTTAGCTTCTTGATTCGGGATTTAAACCAATGTCTTTTATATTCCAGACGACTACTTTAAATTATTAAAGTTATTCAGACCATTCACCAAAGTTATTAAATCACTAAAGTTATTTGATCAATTTAGGTCAAATTTTTCAGGAATGTCTATTTATTAAAAATGGATTTGTTCGCTTCTACAATATATGAAATAAAAATGATTAAGAAGGAAGAAGAAAGAGACGAATATAAAGAAATGTGAGAGAAGATGATAAAGATGAAGTAGAAGATAAAATCTAATACGATACGATCTTTAATTAATATTTTAAGTAAAAATTTCTTTTCAACAGATCAAATGTAACTCGTTTTTAAGAACCAATGATAACGAAGTTTTCAATATTTTTTGTACATGGCTTTGATAATTTTTCAATATGATCATCTTACTAATAAACTTTGTAAGATTGTATAAAGTGTAATAATTTTCTTTATTTGATCAGTATTCTTATTAATTAATGGTAAATATTTTGTAAAATAAATGATCAGTATATAAATATAACTTGGTCAAACAGTATAAACAATTAAGCGTTAAGGGTTACGTCAAAATTGCGTCACTTATATTACCTACTGGTATTTTATTATAAATACTAATCAAATGTTTAAAGATACTCTCCCAATATATACCAGCTACTATGTAATATGTAATATTGTATTATATATTTACATATAAATAGATACGCACTTACCCCATAGCACTGCGATAATGAACTCCGTGTAGGGCAGTTACCATTTCTTTTCCATTTCGTGGATCACGACTTTCATTTAATGCTTTTAATAGTGTCATTTCATAAAGATGTACAGCATCATAAAGGTAAGCCGTCTCCGGCACTATCTGCCTTATAACGGAGAATGATAATTACGTTTTCGATTTGTTAGACAAAAATAATATACTTCACTTATTTAATCTATCTTTATTATCATATTTTTTCTTTTATTTTAATTGAACATGTACGAAGGAAAATGAAAGATTTGTCTCTAATAGTCACCTGAACTAATCCATTAACCCTTAACATCAACAATGGATTGGTGAAGTTAAAGGGTGGTTTCTGCCTATAATCATTGATTAGTTTCGTGAAATTGTCGAAATCAATCGGCGCTGATGCAACAATGCTGAAGTAATTGCGATAAGCTTTAAGTACAGAATAATCCTTTATTCTATCCTGATATAATCCACGAAGATATTTGTCTGGCTTCTGTTCATCGTATTGATCGAAGTTAATCCCAACTACCCAGTATTCTCCTACAACGTGAAATCCATAGTATAACTAGTAACTTACGTTAAACTAAATTGTGCATATAATTAATTGTTGAATTATTATTATTATTATTATTATTATTATTATTATTATTATTATTATTATTATTATTATTATGCGCGATAATCGCGATTATTAATGATGCGACCTATAATAACTATAGTCCCAACTATTCTTTGATATACATATGTACCTGAATATCTTACAGCAGATTTATACCTTTTTCCAAGAGCTTTCTTTTGTCGAGTGCCATCAGGAGACCCATGTGCTCGTCGTGATTTCCTAGAATCACGTAAACTGTAAAAAAAAAAAAAAAAGAAAAAAAAATCAGAATTAGTACGTACGACTTTCACAATCGTTTTCGTATAAAAAAAAAAATATTCGAAGATATCTAAATACTAAAACTTCGTCTTCGTACAGTTTATTTTTTGTTCGTTCAACATTAATTACGAATTTCCCGCCAATCGAGTAAAAACGATAACGTGGCCAGTTTATTTTTGGAATTACGATAAAATCGAATTATAAATAGACGTGTGACTAACGATACTCGAGAGTTATATCTATTCTTATCACGAAAACTCGGTTGCACGAAATATCCTACATACGATAGAGATGCGGGTTATTCCTCTTTCTTCACGTAAGTGAGGAGCCTTGTTCTATTCGTCGAATAAATCAAAGAATTTTTATGCGGGTTCTCCGATCTTTGTTCTTGTTCAATCGATAGGAAAAGAGAAAAAAAAATGCGTATCATTTTTGTCGACGAGAACGATAAGCCAATGAAAATAATTGGATTTTCGATGAAGACATCCTTTTGCTTACGACCAACGAAATAATTAAGTCGTAAGGAGAAAGTATTGTACGAGTTATGTGGGACGTCATCGATCCTTTCGATTCGAACGACGTCGAACGCGTTACAAAACGTTTTTCGTTAAAAAAAAATGCTTACGCATCATGACGAAACGAAAAAGGATCTTGTTCCTCTTGAACTAAGTTAATCGCAAATATATTCGTGAAACAAGCATAGAGTTTCTTTTTCTTTCACTTAAATTAGTAGATATTAGTAGTCGATCGAATACTATATTTTAATTCTCGAAAGGATGAATTTCAACATTTTTTTCTTCTTTTTTTTTTTTTAAATATATAAGATATACCGTGTTTATAGCGTGTGTAACGTTACTAATCGGAAATTTTTTGTTAATGATTTATATTATTAAAAAGATTTTGAAATAACTTGTATAATTACTTACAAATTGTTTTTCTATTTTTACAAATTATTTTCTGCCTATCTTTATTTTCTACTAATTTATTTTCTACTAATTTATTTTCTACTATCTTTCCTTTCTTTCTTTTGACTAATATACGTAATTTTTGTATATTGTTATTATAGAATTATTACTGTTAATATAAATAAATAAAAGAGAAAGAATGGAGGAAAGTGAGAGAAAATGATATAGAATGATTAAAAATCGTTACATTATAAGATTTACATTTGTATATATATTATAGATTACATTGAAATGTATTTCGTTTCACTTACTTCGAGTCTCCCGATAAGTTTCTTTGACAATTTCATTAAACGGATTCTCCACATTTTTCATTAAATAATAAGGATCCTTCCAACAACGAAGGAAATTAACTGTAATTCCATTATTTTCGAAAGACGACAGGATCGTTGTTCCGATGGTTGACATTTTACTGAAATCGACCAATGACGAGTTCATATACATGAACGTCACCTGCAACCCCATAAGATAAGATTTATTGAAAAAGGAAAAAATTTTTGCTATAACAATTTCATAAAAGAACTAACCTTCATCCAATTGAAAGCTTTTAAAACGGAAACCACAGATTTTGATATCTGTGTGTCGGGTGGCCGAGTCCTAACGAAGGTTGGGAATTTATTTTTATCGGAGGTTTCGTGATGCGTGCAGAACTGAAAAAATACGATTAGAAAATAATAATTGTCAGATAAAAACTAACTGAAAATTTACTAATTATCGAATAAAAACAATTTGTAATAATTAATCCGTCGAAAGATAGATAAAATATATTGCAAATAAGAAAATGTAGAAGAGAAACGATAATAATACAAGTTGTATCATTGTAATAATACAAGTTAAATTAGTTTTAAAGATTCGTATTTGGATTCTAGGTTGAGTTTATTAGTAGGTTATGAAAAAAGAAATAGGTGATGTTAATGTACAACGATTGGTTGGAGCTGTTTAGTGGGATATTAAAATGTACCACGGCAATAAATTTTCGAATTTATCATGAAGAATAGGAATTAAAAGTACACGTCAAAATAATATCCCGTATTATTAATGGATTAATGGATTAAATATAGAAAATGTGAGAAATTTTGCAGAATTAATTGGACCGTCATTAGTTTTCCTCGAAGTCACTGGATGATGTTAAATCACTTGTGAAATTATAATGAGAACTATGAGTTCTATCTTTCTTTTTTTTTTTTTTTTTTTTTTTTCTTATGAATTTCTATTCATAAATATTGAAGCATTGAGAATCTCGAAAAATTTTCTTCATATTTCCTCATGTAGAATATTTGTTTATTCACCGAGAAAATAATTAAATAAATTATTATAATTATTTTGTTATAAATATAAATAAACTAACCTTTTATTCATATAATATTCATATTTTTCATATTAACAATGTCAATAACGATTATAATTGTATAAAAAAAAATTTATATATAAAAAATATTAATTAATTGATCGATACTCGTAATAAATTCGAAAAATCGTGTTTACGTCTTTTTTTATAAGATTAAATTCGTTTCTGAAGCATTAACGATTAGGATTAGAATAATGTATCCTTTTTATTGGTAAACGAGAGAATAAAAATAAATCTTGATTTAATAAGGATTTAAATGTTACCCATGATAGATAAAATAATTCGACCAAAAGGACGAGGAAAAGTTTATCGCATAAAACGTGTCGTAACGTCGAGTCTTTGCATTCGTATTCTTCCGAGGAACGAGAATAATTTATTTCTCTTGGATGGCCCTCTCTCTCTTCCTCTCTCTCTCTCTCTCTCTCTCTCTTTCTCTTTGTCTCTACCCTTCTCCTTTAAACGGTAGCTTTAAACCGAACATTGCAACATCGGATCACGTCGAGCGAAAAACGATCGAACGAGCAAAACGCGGAGAAGCGTCTGTACGATCACTTGTGATTCTCTCTGTTTCTTTCTGTTTCTCTCTTTCTCTCTCTCTCTCTCTCTCTCTCTCTCTTTCTCTCTCTCTCTCTCTCTCTCTCTCTCTTCTCTCTCTTTCGATTTAAGTGGAACAACCTGAACGGATGCTGGTGTAAGAGTGATCAATTGTTTCGAAGAAAACCTTCGATTTTTGTTCTATCACCGACAGAAAATTCTCTTTCCAATGCAACGAGAGTGACGCAACGAACATTTATATCTAAGATTATTCTAAAATTAGAAGAATTTTCTTCGGAGAATTTTGAGATTAGAAAAAAATCTTTAAATTTGATATCTTTAATCTATTGATTATTGAATTAATTTTCATAGAAATTATTAACATAGTGTTACATAATTTCTCTGATAAATTTATTTAAATTCTTTTTTTTCCGAAAATATAAAAATACGAATAAAGCCATGATAACATTTTTTAATTGTAATATCGTTAATTTTAACATATGCCTATATGAATTAATTCCTTCAGATATTATTTATTTCTTTCGTTTTTGAAATATTTAATAGTCTTTGTTGTAGAAGAGAGTCAAAGATCAAATAAAGAATGTTTCAAGGATAAAATCTTTTCCTTCTTACGTATGATATCATTGGGAGATTGAACGCAGCAGCCATTTTCCCTTCGTGAATGCAACTCTCTTGTGGACCGATGTAAGCACTGACATTCTTTTTCCAGAGATCAGCTGTCATCAATATGCTGGTTTCCTCGTCACCATACGTCTCAGCGACCAAAAAATCGAGCTTATGACCTTGTCTGCCGAGTTCTCCCGCATTCACCTATCGTAATCAAGCCACTCAATGTAAATATGGTTTACATAAGATTACGTCTTTCCAATATGAATTTATTCTTTTGTAGAATAAATTTCAATTAGTAATAATAAATTTTGTAAGAAAAAAAAATCAATTAATAATCAATTAACGATAACAAATTTAATAAAAAAGTAATTTTACAAATAAAATTATTTTATATAACGTTTGATTATAAACATACGGAGATGGATTATTATATGAAGAAAAATTAATATATTCACTGAGAACATTGGTTTAACATTTGTATTTACTGTATATGCAACTAAGAAATAAATAAATCCTTGTGAATATAAAAATAAGTAATTTATAAGAAAAAAATATCTAATCGGTATTTCGAAATTCGTTTTTTCTCCTTTATTTCGTTGATAAGATAAATTAACGTCAACAGAACTCGTTTAATGAAATTACCTCTTCGACAGCGAGAGTGATGGCGCCGGATATCCGAACACCCGGACGCTCGTATTCTCCATCCCCTGGACGTCGTTTCGAACCGGTGATGTATCCAAGGGTGAATGTCTCCGCATTGACACCTCTGCCGAACAAAACGTGGATCGCTGTCAATAAGAGACACGCTCTCTCCACGTTTCCCAGTAGCATGCCCAGTCACGGAACCTAGACACTCCGATCAATATTATTATTGTTTTTCTCTTTTACAATCTTAAACGGAATAGATGATTTAGAATCGTTGAGAAAATCAATTATTTTGTAATAAATAAAATTTCTTAATTAAATCGATCATATTATTTTATATTATTATTATTATTATTATTATTATTATTATTATTATTATTATTATTATTAGGGGGGCCGGAAAATAATGTAGTTTCTACGCATGTCGATATTTGATTGTGCTTAAAAATAAAAACTTGTTAAAAATTTATTCGTTTGAATTTAATTTAAGAAAGCGACATTATTTTCCGGTCCCCCTAATATTATTATTATTATTATTTAATTTTTTAATTAAATCGAATATTATTTATTTCAATTATTTAGTTGAATTAATTTATTCAATTATGTAATAAAACACATGTGTTTTACTATTACTAAATATTTCTTAAGGAAAATACTTGATTATTTGTTTTTCATTTTCGCGTTTTCCTATTAAAAGTTGGTCGAGAAATATTTGACTTTCGTTGGGATTAACATTAGTCGGTTTACCGACTTCCACGGGAAATGAATTGCCATGGAAGCAGATGTCTTTACCGAAGGAAATCTTGATTAATTATTCTTTTCGGATATGTTTCTCTCAAGTGTTAACGGAAATACCATTTGACGATGTTAGAAGTTAGTAAATTTTTTTGAAATTTCGAATGACCATGATGATATATTTAATGTATATGATACTTTGCTGATGTAAAAAAACTAGAAATATTATATGAAAACGAAGCGATATATAGCATGAATTTAATTCAAGTCTTTGAATTATTTGCATTGCGAGATCGATTGCGTAAAAAAGATGAAAAATGAAAAAAGAAAAAAAGAGAGAAAAAGAAAATAGAAGATATTGTTAATCGATGAAATTTATATTCGTACCGTTATCTTGACAATGATTGGCGATTGGTCAGAACGATCTCGATATTGGTTCGATGATTTGCGAAAGAATCATGCCAAGAACGGTGTATTTGCGAAAGTGACGACTGCTTATCACGCTGGTAATGGATAAAAGTGATAAACCACAGGTGGTCGCAATAAACGCCATCGATCTCCCGTGGTGTCTCGACTACTTCCCTTTTTCTCGGCTTCTTTTCTGGTGGCAGTCAGTGAGACGAAACAACTCAACTGTTTTCTCGTTTTTCAACAAAACAAAACAAAACAAAAAAAAATAAAAACATTATTTTTCTCTTTTTAACACTTTAACACAAGACTTTTTTTTCCAAGATGTTAAAGAAAAAAATATCATACTAGCTTACTAAATAGTTTTTTATTTTTAAAATTAAATTAACGAGAAAAATTACATTATCATAAAATTTTTTGTACAAAATTTAACGATTAAACTGACTCGTTTAATGTTAATTTACATATTGTGATTTTGATCAATTATGAGCAATAATATATGCATTTAAGGGATTAGAACGAATAATTTTATCCGTTTTGATCGATTATAAAGATTTTTTTTAATAATAATTATTTTTCTTTTTGTTAAATTCATTTCGAACTAATCCCATATACATTTATTTTATTATTTATTAATTTTTAATATAATTGCAAATATGAATAAAATGAATCAATTTCTATTTTATATTTTCGCTGTGAAATTTTTAAAAGGCATTCCTTTGACGATAAATTTCAAAAAGTCTAGTGGATTCATGTTCCGAACGAAAGCTTACAACGTACCGCACTCACCGAACTATTATTAATAGCGGTCTATTTTAACAATACGTTAAAAAGCTGATGTTGCCGGACGGGCTTTTAAAATATATATATATATATATATATATATATATATATATATATATATACATATATATATTCGAAATCCACGAGAGAGATTGCGTAACAAAGTGAAGGCCATTTTGTTCGTGGTTTGACGTGTTCCTTTTATATTTCACATGAAAAACCATTTTTTAATAATATGAGATAAATGAAATAATGACAGAAAGTTTATTGAAAACATTTAGTCGAATTAATATTACTCGATTCTATAAAATTCGATTCGATCATCGATTTCTTTGTTGCTAAATGTATAATGAATATAATAATAATACAAAAATACAATAAATAAATTCGATGATGATGATAATAATAATAATATTATGAAAATAAATAATTTATATTATAATAAATATAATAATAACGTAAATAGTAAATACATATTGAAAAATAATTAATATAATAATTTTCTTTGTATGTTTCGTAATTCAATGATTTAGAAGACGAAGATAGTTCATTAAAAATACATTAATTACATGGATAATAGGATATTCATGTGACTCTGGTAGTTCATTATTCAGACATATCGTCGGCTGTTTTTCAAAGAGAGCCGATGAGAAAGAGTAAACGCGATTGTTTCTTTGGATCGTGGGAACGGCCACAGAGAGTGCGTGCGTGGGCGTTCTCTCGCTTACCCCGATGGCAATCGTCTTTCGATGGGAATCATTATTTTTTTTTTTTTCTTTTTTTTACCTCGAGAAAAGATCGATGATCAAAGAAGACGAGTACGAAATAGAACATTGTGAAAAACACAATTATCGTAATAATAATATGAAAAATTTTCTTTTCATTTTCATTATTATTTATACTTAAATAATTTTACTAAAATAAAAACTCATTATTAACATAAATTACGTAACATTTTTTTCTTTTTCATACAAGATTTAATTTTCTTTGTCTTCTAAATCCTTGGGAAAAATCTAAAGAAATAATCTTACTTTAATTTTTTGTCTTTTCAATTATTATAGTTGTATTAATAATCTTTTTAATTAATTTTCGTAAGACTATATGTATAATTATTTGTGAAAACAAAAAAAGAAAGAAAAGAAAAGAAGATTATTAGGATAAGAGATTGTTTAACACTTTTATTCGTACAAAAGTTTGTCTTCGAAATTCTCGAAAAATTTAAAGAAGAAAAAAAAGATTAAAAATAAAAAAGAAAAAAGAAAAAAAGTAATTTTACTTTAGTTCTTTCTTTACATCCAATTTCACAGTTGATTGACAGTTGTATCATCTCGAGCTTAACGACTCTTAAAATCAAAACGGACGTTTTAGGATCGAGCCATCAAAGAATTTCCGGTCGTATAACTCTCAGGATTTGAACGAGGTAACGGATTCTTGTCGAAAGGCGAAGTGAGCATTTAATCGATGTAAAGATCTCTTTCTCTCTCTCTCTCTCTCTCTCTCTTTCTCTTTCCTTTTGTTCTTCTCTTTTTTTTTCTCTTTGTGCTACATTTGACAGTCTGTCCTCGTGCTGTCAAAACGAGCGATATCGCAATGCGAGCAACGAACGAAGAACGAACGCGATTGCTGAATTAATGCGGTTAACGGAATTCGTTCTTTCTTTTCGAGGATCATCGATGTACCGTCGAGTGGTCGATGTCGCACGTGTTACTTGCCTTTTCTTTTTCGTTTTCTCGACGATATTTTTCTCGTAAATTTAGCATTTTTAATTCGCTTTAAATAGATAGAATATATGGATTAATATTTAAAATAATTATTAGAAATTAATACGAATTACATAGAACACAAATTTTTTATTACGTAAAATCATACGATAATTAATAAAATATAAAGATAATTTATAAAAAATAAATATATTTTTGAGAACGCATTTTTTATTTACATACATATGTTACTTTGATAAGAAGATATAGAACAAGAAAATATATATTGTAGAGAAATATACGAAAAATAATAGGAAAATAAATAAGCAAGAAAGTATATAGAAATATATAACAAGTATAATGTAAATAGTAAATACATGTATTTTAAGAGTTATTGATACGTTTTCATATATATATATATATGACCAACAACATTATCTCAGATAATGCAGAAGAGATGCAAACGTCTTTAAATACCACTCATAATTATCAAGCCGTCATTTTCGAAGCGAAATATTTATTTTTCTGACTCGATCGTATCTACTTCTCGATCTTCTCACCCGAAAGATCGAACGGGCAAGGAAGAGAGAGAGGAGGAAATTAATGGATGGAGCTCATTTCGTTTTCTCTCTTTCTCTTTCATTCACACACGTACCATGTAAATATGGCATAGAGAGGAAGAAACACGCCCAGAGCATTCTCTCGATTTTTACACTGATTTACATTCCGTTGCGAAAGAACCAAAGAAATAACTATAATCTCACGAGCGAATTGGCGAATGCTTTGACAACGTCACGTGACCTGCCGATCGAAAATCGTGACCTTAATCGATGTCGATTGATCCCTATCATTTTTTTTTCTCTACGATTTTGCAAATTAAAAAAAGAAAAGAGAGAGAGAGGGATAATGATACCAGAGATACTTAATTAAAAAATAAATTAAATTAAAAAGCTTAAAATAAATAATAATAAGTGATATAAATAAAACATGAAATGTTATTGATACGATATCGATCGATACCTATCGTTTCTGTTTTCTGTGATTTTGGAAATTTAAAAAAAAAAGGAAACAAAAAGAAAGATTGATGTTAGAGATATTAAATTAAAAAAGAAATTAAATTAAACAGTTTGAAATGAATATAGTAAATGATATATAAATTAAAAATTAAATGATATTGGTAACATGTCGATCGATTCTTATCGTTCCTTTTTTCTTTTTTGATTTTGCAAAATCTGAAAAAAATAGAAAGAAAGAAAGAGAGAATGATGTCAGAGATATTAAATTAAAAAAAAAAAAAAAAAAAGAAAAGAATTAAATTAAAAAGCTTGAGATAAATAGTATTTAATAGATGAGAGAGATTTAAAAATGAAATGATATAATATTATAAAAAAAAAAAAAAAAAGAAAAAAGCAACCTATTGTTATAAAAGTTTAAATATGAAACAAAAAAGTATGGAATCAATGAATGTTATTTACAAAGAATGGAAAGAGAAATCGGATCCAATAGTGACAGTTATACTGACTTCTTTTTTTTTTAATTTATCAGGTCAATCGAATTGAAGGACGTTTAATCTGCGTGAAACGTACATTGCACTCGTCGAAAATTCAATCTTGTGAATTTCGAAATTTTCATTTAGGGAAATTCGTTTTCCATTCATCCAATTTCCATCTGTTTTTCACGTTTCACGGATTAATTGACGACTGGAAAAAAAGGATCTGTTAGTCGTTGAAATGAATTGATTGAAATTCGTATTAGCTTTGATTTTATGATTTTCCCATTTTTTGAACATTACTTACACCATGAATTAAATAAGTGACCTGATATTCTAAAGGAATATATATATAAAAAAAAAGTATGCGCGTATTTTATTGTATACATGCATTATATCGAAATTATCTAATATTCATACTTTATAGATTTCCCAGATAAAATTAATGAAAAATATTTATATAATATACATGCATATATTAAATTTATATAAATTATCTTTTATACTTTATATAAAAGATAATTTTAACAATTAAAACAGGCTAATTTTAGTTTTTATCGAGTATAAAAGTAAATAGTAATTATTTTGTAAATTATTAACAAAAATTTAACGTTTAATATAGATATAACAATTTTTAATTATATCTATATATTTTAATTATTTCTTAATACACGATCTAATATAAAAGATAATTTTAACCACTGATTCAGAGTAATAAATAAAAATTAATAAAGTTAAATAGTAATTATTCATTAAACTATAAGTAAACATATAAGAGAGATATAAAAATACGTACACATGTGATAAAAAGGCAGATTAAGGAAGAAAAAAAAGTCGTTTATTCAATATAGATTTTCATTGAAGGGTGCTAAATTTTACGCATAATATTAGTCGCTTTGTTACTCTATTTTTTAGATTCGTACCAACGAGAGGATTATTAATCGACCAATATAAAGCTCGTTACGTCCCACTCAAATCGAATGTGAGATCGGATCTTTTTTGTCGGCATGGAAGAGATCGAGAAAGGAGCATCGAGAGATCGAGGTTACAATCGAGGAGATGCGATATCAAGTGGCTCCCAATGGTATGCCGGCAATTCCTCTTACAAAAGTCGATTTATGACATCATGAACAATCGTTTTGATTGTTCGGCTATTTCGATGTCAATTAAAATAGGGCTAATTGATATTTTAACGAAGTTATACGTTGGCAAATATCTTGAAAATGATAATTTTATTGGCTTGATTAGTACCG